TGAGGATAGGTTAACGGAATTAGAACGTAAGCAGGAGGAACAGGCTAAAAAATTGAGGGAACAGGAATGGTATAGAAATCGACAGAAGGAGGATAATTATAATTATGAAGAGGATGGAAAAGAATATGATGATCGAAAAAAGCAAATGGGAGAACAACATTCTGAATGTAGAAAGGGAGAGGAAGAAAGTGATAAGGGAAAGGAGTCAGAAGAGGAAGAAGATCAATCAAGAGAGAAGAATGAAGAGAAGATTCATGAATATTCCACAAGTCAAAAAACAAAGAAGCCTGAAGAAAGCGAAGAGGAAGAGGAAGAGGAAGGGTACCAAAATTATAAAAATGATGATGTTTATAAAAAAGATATGCCTCAGTTAAATGAAAATTATACTAGTATACAATACAATGAACCATTGCCATTGAGTGAAGATGATGAGCAAAGACGACCTGAAGATTTGCGTAATAGTTACGGAGAACCTTTGTACAATCGTGAATTGTTTGAAGATGGGTTCGTGAATTTTTTTGGAAATCAGCCACTGAGAGATATTTATAACTCTCCATTTCCAAATTCAAAAGAGAAAATCTCGGAAGAGGAGGAAGATCCGCGTGAAAATCAGAAACATGACGACAGAAGTGATGAAAGAGAAGAGGAGAATATTCCAGCGAGAAATAAATATGAAGAGTATAGTTTAGAGGAAGATATGGATACCAAAAGAAAAGATGAAAACGATTTTGAACCATCGAAAAAATATTTTAATGTTCAAACGAATAGCAAAAATCAGTTCGAAGAACGAGGAACGATCGAAGAAATGGAATTTGGTAAATATATGCCTTTAATTGTTCCTATTCGGTATTTAACTGCTCCTGAAGAATTAAGAAAAGCGAAAGAGAAATCGTCATCGATAGAAAAATCAAAAAAAGATAATAATGTATTGGAGACAGGAATAACGAAGAAGATTTCAAAATTTAAAGAATCATGGCGATCAAAAAAGGAGAATTTAAAACCAATAATAGGTCTTCCGGAAAAGCCAAGACAACTTCACGAAGGCGAACAAAAGGATCTACAAATATGGCCACCACCATTCGATTTTGTTCTAGATAGTACGATTCATACCAATGTTGTTCAAGCAAAATTTAACAATAATGATAGTATAGAAATTCCTAATATTCGTCAAAAACCTGAATCTTTTAATAAAAAGAAGGAAGAAAGACAACAAAGAAACAGAATTTTTAATAATTCAACTGAAAAAGTTTATGATTCTCCCGAAGATATTTATTATCAAAGATTTAAGAATGATCATAAACATAAAATTGTTTCTGAGAAACGATTGAATAAACCAATAAATGCTGAGAGATCGAATCGTACACATTTTAAAATTGAAGTAAAAGAACTAAAGAAATTTGAACAAAATGACCATGGAAAAGAATTACCACAATTTCACGAACATTATAAATATATTTCCAATAATAATTATAAAAATACAGAACGACCAAATGTCGATGTACAACATTCTTCGAAACAGCAAATTCCAAATTCATTGCATTTTAAAAATTTTGAATCTTTGAAGCATAATATTGAAAAAAATGAGCCTGTTGTAGAGGATAAAAACAGAATAAATGATAAAAATCAAATAATGCAAGATGTTCAACAAAAATCTGATCCATCAATCATTTTTGATCCTACAGAGAATTATAGTTTCTTTGATTTTAATGAAAATGTACATGGTTTTAATCATGGAAGAGAAAACGATAGATTATCCGAAGTTTTTGAAAGTAACAAAAGAATTGAGAATAAAAGAGCAATTGGCTTGACTATACCGCAACAGGACGTGTATCATTATGACGAAAGTTTGACGAAATTTTCCAATGAACCGGAAAGCAAAAGCGTGAAAGTCAGAGGGAATAATTATTCGAATAGTGCTATTGCTATGAAAATGCATCAAGAACAAATTGATCCCAGCGAATCGATAAGTTATATTAGTTATCCTAGTATTTTGTAATAATTTGATAATTTTTAAATTTATGGTTTATTTGTAATTAAAATCAATAGTTATTTCAAGTGGATTTCGATATCATTTTATGAAATTTTTTTATAAAATTATATTTAACATACATTTTCTAAAATACTTTATGGAAAAAAAATATAAGTACTTAGGTGAATTTAATCATATTTCATACTTTATAATCTGAATGAAAAAATTAAAATGACATTTTTATTATAAAATTAATTAAGAAAAATACAAAGTATCAAAAACATGGAAATTTTAATTGAATATTTGAATTATTTATTAAAAATACAAATATATAAAAATATATTGGATTTTTTTAAGTGGTGTAAATTAATTAAATAATATATAAAAAATTATGAATAAATTAAACATTGAATTTTAATAGCAAAATGAAAATAAAAATTCGTTGTTATAAAATGAAAATAAATTTTAATTTTGTTAATATGAAATCTAATATATTTTTTTTAATATGCTTTTTCTACTTATAATCTACAATATACGATAATAATGAAAATATTCCATAATATGATATGTTACAGGATAAGCGAGAAGAAATGCAAAGGAGTAAAGATTTGGAAAATAAAATGACAGAAATTTTAGAAAATTTGAAGACTCGTCTATTGGTCGAATAATATTTATTATTATTATATTTTATTATTTTATTATTTTATTATTTTATTATTATTGTATTATATTTATTACAATGTATTTTTATACATTTTTTTTCCTTATTTTTGTTAAAATTATTGAATTTATTTAATGGATATTATGCAGATATTTTATCTTAAATTATTAATAAAAGAATGGATTGCTATATAACAGATGCAAAATTAAAAAAGATATATATTTTACTTACCAATTCCTTTTTTTCTGAATTTATGCTTCTTTGTCATCCCATATCATCCTCTGTGAAATTATTTATTTATTTATATACAATATATATAAATAAGTTCAAATTATATATATGTGTGACAAATAAATAAGTAATACTTTAATGTTCATTTTGTAATATTTTGAAATATTATTTTATTACATTTAAAAATTGAAAGAGAAGACTTATTTTTTTTTATTAACATCTTTGAAAAAATTTTTCGAGAATAAATGTATTTGAACAATAATCATGATTCGAATATTGATTATTGTCAAAATAATTAGATATTTCACCACTAGAGTGCAGATATATCGTGATGTTAGTATTATTAGAGATGTGTTTATATTTATAAAAAATAATTTATGAAATGTGTAATGTGAAATAACATTAACATTACAGATTATATTTTTTATAAAATTCAATTATTATAATTTTATAAATATATAATAAAAATATATAATAAAAATGGAAGAATTTTTACGAAACATAGGTGTAGGATTAAGACCTATTAACGATCCATTTTTTGAGGATTCATATAATGCTTGTAAAATATTTCAACGAAAAGGAGTTACTGTTGAAGATGATGAGGAATTGTGTCATGAAATGTAACTAAAAATTCGTTAAATATATTATTTATTATTCTTTCTAACCTAGAATATGTATAACCTAAACTAACCTTATAAATGTATAAGTAAAATTGTAGAATGTAAAAATTAAAAAGAAAAATTGTAGAACTAAAAAATAATTAAGTCTAATAAAATGATTTATTAATTTCAGAATAAGAGAATTTCCTTGTTACGTTACTGGTTGTAAAGCTATATTTCATACGTTGATTGATTTTGAAATGCATTATAATAGCAATCATCGATACGTTTGTGTAGAATGTAAAAAATCTTTACCAAATCCTAGATTATTAGATATTCATATTCAAGAAACACATGATAGTTTCTTTCAAGTTTTATCCATGAAGAAATCAATGGTAATTATAAATGCTATTATACATTATTTTTATCAAAATATTTATAAATATTTGTATCTTTTCAGTATCAATGTTATGTTTCGGAGTGTGATTTGAAATTTAATAATGCACTTGAAAGAAAGGATCATTGTATTAATATACATAAATTTCCTAAGAATTTTAGATTTGATAATACTTCACATTGTATAAAAGATAAATCAAAAGATAAAATGGATATTGATGAACTCGAATATGAAAAAAAAGAACGAAAATCCAAAAAAATACAATTAAATAAAAATCAAAAAACTAAAATGTTTGCAGCTGCAGCAAAAAATATATCACCAACAAATTCTAATACTAGTTCATTAAATTCTTCAAATATTATTACAGGAGCAAACTCATTACATTTTATTCCTAGACAAGTTCAAAAATCATATACAAAAGCACTTACTAAAAATCAAACTAATGAGAAAAATGTATTAGAAACAGCTAGCATGTTAGATTTGGCTAATTCATTACCAACTTCATGAGTATATATATATAGATATATATATATATATATATATACACATAAATATTTTATAATAATTAATATTTTTTTAATATTCTTTTATTATAAATATATTTTTAATATCACAACAATCTTTGTATGTACAATCAAACTTACAAATAATTTCTATTTTATCATTTATTTACATATTTATGACTATATTACAATATAGGATTATGTACATTAATTTTAAATTTAGTCCTGAGTTGTTTCTAATATATTGAACATTTTTATAGAGTACGTATAAAATTTATTTAAAGTTTTTAAATTTTAAGTACTACTAATTATTAATGCTTAATAATTTATAATTGTCAAATACAATAATGTTTGTTACTTTATAAACACTTAATAATAATTGTGTAGAATAATAATAATAATAATAATAATAGAATTGAATGGCACAAAAATTCAAAGCTTTTAAATCTTAATAGTATATTAAATCTTAATAGTAAATTAGGAAAACATTTTTACATTTATATATATACATATATGTATATATATAATATACATTTGGTATTAATATTTTGAAAAAACCAAAAAATTACAAAAAATATAACATATTATATAATACAAATTTTGTACTTTTAAAAAAAGTTAATTTTCAAAATTAGCATAAAAGAACTTAAGTCTTAAATACTAATAAAAAATTAATTAACTATATAATTAAATTTATATAAAGTATATCTTAAACTTACGTTGAATAAACCATACATCTAAGTTTAGCTGTTTCGTTCCTAAGAGCAACAAGTTCATATTTAAGTTTAATATTTTCTTGTTCTAAGAAAGCTGCTCTGATAGCAATTTCGTCTTCTTTTGCTCTTCGAGCGTCCCTGGAGCGTTTCGCTGCCTCGTTATTTCTTCTTCTTCTTTCCCAGTAAGCTGCATCTTTTTCATCAACCGTACTCGTTGGTAATCCAGGACTTTTTGTAACTCTTCGCATTTTCACATTAGTTCCTTCGTTTGATTTTTTAACCGATTCTAACATTCGTTTCCGAAATTCGGAATAAGCCTCATTAGAATTTTGATCATATATCATTTCGACTGCTCCTACAGTGAGTGACAACGGATCTTTTGGATAAGCTTTAAATGGTCTTGCTGCTTTTTTGCTTTCTTTATCTGTAGATGTATTCGATAATCCAATTTCATTGGAACAAGTCATCGAAGTTGTTAACGATGAAGCAGGAATATTAATTGTGTCTGACGATTTAACTGTGCCACCGTTTTGATTAAGAAATGTCGATAACATAGTTGGAATTGGAATATTCATTGGCAAATTGGAGAAATCACTGTGTTGACTTTTGATATTATTCTCTGACATATCTGTATGATCGTAAAATGGTTCATATTTGATTTTTATCGGAGAATTAGATTCTGAAGGTGGTGTTATCATGAATGTTCGAACTTCGAAAGGACTATTTCTTTCGGTTTCGGATTCTGAAACATGATTAGTTTGATCATGTTTCGTACTACTCGTGGATGAATTTAAATATGAATCTAATGAATTTGGTTGGCTGGAAGTCGAAGTTCTTCGTTTCTTGAAAGAAAGATCCAGAATTGCATCGGCGAAAAATGCTTCAGTATTCAATTCTTGAGAATTAAATTCCGTTTTTATGTTGTTCATTGACGGCATGGAGAAAGATTCCATTTTCCAATATCTAAGACGGAAAAATATGAATAAATTAAAATATTATTTTAATCAAATCATTTTCAAAATAAAACGGTACAAATATTTTAAATATTTTAAATTCATTTAATCTCCGAGATATTAATTATATATATTACTATATATATTATATATATCGATCGTGATAAATTAAAATAAAAATAAATAAAAATTCATGCATATATATAATAACGATTAAAATTGTCAACGAAAAGAGAACGTAACCAACGATAAATGAATTTACATATTTTTGAAAAAAACTTATTACATTAATTAAAACAACTTACAATTAGTTATTAAACAAATAACACTGAGTTCTATCGTGTTTGATGTCGTATCATTTAATGAAAATTACACAGAAATCGTTTTACTGTAGGTAATCGAATAGACATTAGCGTCCATTAATTACGCAAGTTTGAAATTCTTTTATGTTTATCGAGTAACTATCGTGGTAAACGACTAATGTCTCTTACCTAATGATTAATCCAAGGTTATACACTGGTCACTGATATCACAACACACTGTCTCTAGTTTGGAAGCGTACACGTTTTTAGGAAGATTTTCGAAAGATAACTGTTTGAAAGAAAATCGGTTTTTAACGAACATATACAATCGGTTTTTCGAAAATATCTTTGTAGCATGAACCGTCAAAATCGTTTAAAACGAGAGAGGGTGTACTTTCGCTTATATAGTAGTGGACAACCCTTGTAAGGTCCAAAGGGAGGAGACTTCCTTAGAAAATGGTGGGGAGAGGCCGATCCTGATGACTGTGGGGGTCGAACTGGCACGCGTTTACCACTTCTTATTCCCAAAATGTTTATAGGGCAACACGCTCACGTGGTTATACACAGACGCAATCATGAACGCGGGAAAATTAGTAGTATTGAGTATTTGTGATCGCGCAATTGGAATAACAATTTCGTCAGAAATCGTATCTGTGAAGGTTGTTTGATAAAGGTAGTAGAATTTAATACATATGTATATACATATATAGTAATTTTAAAATAGAAATTAAGTTTAATAATTTTGATTAATTGTTGAAATTTATATTTCACTCACTTAAAATACACATATCTATAAAAAAAAAAAACTAATATTTTATTCATTAAAAACCAATAAAGAAAACAAAAGGATTGAATTTTAAAATTCAAAAAATAATTAAATTTTCTTTCTTAGGTAGATTTTTCTTTAATTTAAACATTTTATTTATCATTTTAATATGCCAACCAGTATGCGATTTAAAATATTTAAAAGATAAAAATATTACGTAGCCAATGATGATCTTGCCACTGTACTACCTGTCGTGGCATCCTGAGGCGAAACAAATTGCAGCATTTTCTTGATCTCGCATAACAATCGAATCCCGCTAAATTAATCCTTGCAATCGTAGTTATTATTTGTTTCAGGATTGTCGAAAAATCCAGTTACCGGTTGGCATACTAAAATCCTTTTTCTTAAACCCTATCTAAAGCCAGTGGCAATTGCTCTGTCAAAGGATTGTGCGTTTTGCAACCCCCTACTGAGATGTAATACTAACAATATAGACATAGTGCATAAAATTACTCTGCATAACCTTTTCATACAATTCTTATTTTCACAAAGTAGTTTCTCACAAAGTTAAAGGGTTCTGTGTCGCAATGATTTACGATGGCAAACTATACAAGAAAATCGCGAAATTTCCTCATAAATTAACCGGCGAAAGCGTTGCGGCCAAGTGAAATTTGCAAAATTTTTAGGGCAAAGGGAAAGTTGTTTGTAACTTTTGAACTTTGACGTTGATCATTTGATGTATGATCTCTTTTTGATGAATTCCTTTCTTTCGTTCGCGCTCGTTAGGACAGCATGTGGCAGTTTTCATTGCTCAACACCGGAAGATACACCCGCTGTTTTCTTCCACTCAGTGATGACTAATGATTCATTTTCATGGAGTGACTAAATTCATTAGTTTATCATTGGTCCAGCTAGCAGTTTCGTCCCAGACGGTATGACGCTCCTTTCACACTGATTTCCGAATTTTTCTTATCCTTTTTGCATTTTTAATTTTACAAATTTTGTTCAAAAGTTTATTTCAAAATTTTACTACTTGTAATACTGATTTCATTTGATTCACCGATTCAATCAGTCCTTTTGGTCCTGAGAATTCTCTCGAGAAATTCTGTGAGAAAAATAGGGAAAAAATGACGAACGACGATGGAGTCCAGTTATGCTCGATATAGCGTACTCATTATGTCTTCGTCCCAAGATCACGCCAAATTTAGTTCTTTTCGATGCCCCGTTAAAATGCCGTGTCACCCATAGAAAAGCATCCCGGCGCTCAATTCAACCGCACCGCCTTCTTTCTAGTATACAAATTTTTGCTCCTTTAGCCACATAACCCACATTTCTATGGTGCAGGGCCAACCCGTTATTTGCAATTTTTCCCGTGGTCGTCTGATGACAGATGAATAGATTCACGTATTTGCATCTGCTCCTACCGCACTGAAACATATACAAATCATATAACGGTACGTCCATGCGAATCTTCGCGACGATTCGACGTGGAAAATGTCTTAATTCATCGATATCGTTGACATTTTTTAAATTGCTCCGCTGTGAGTAATCAGTTTTCGTGTAAAGAGAATCGAACGAAATGTGAAATGGGATACAAATTTTTGTGTTAGATCGTTCAGTTGTATAGATTCTTCACTTTATGATATTTATTAATTTGCACTTTTAATTGTTCTATTATTTCAAAAAGTTTGTTTATCTTCAAAATATTTAATTTCTCAAATCCTGTTTTAATCTTATCAGGTTTTTTAATACATCATTTAAATTCATAATGTATTGGTTTCATAAGAAATCATTAATTTGTCATTAATTTGTCTATTTTGGTATTACGTGTCTATATACATAGCAGAATGTAAACTTTCTATAAATAGTTAGTTATAAATATCATAGTAACATTCAAAGAACAAACTTTTTAAAAATTTTGTAATTTTTATTTTAAATAGATATAATTATAACGATATATTAGATCTCTGAGATTTGTAGATTCTGATTTATGTTACTTTCGAATGAATTTATGATTTACGTGATTGTTAAACGGCTATGACTAATATGTAGAAGACATTTGAAAAGGTATAATTTACAAACATATCGTTGTGACTTTTTTTAGATTTCTTGAATATGTATTCAAAAACCATAATATTTTGTAACGATAATACTTCGTGGAATTGACTTGACGCAATGTTTCTATCTATCTTCTGTTATCAGGGATTAATTCAGATATTAAATGATCTTGAAACTTTCGAATATTGATGATAGTGATCTTTACATCACACTATCGTCTTCTTTTATTTTTATCTTCATCTAAAGCAAATTGCTTATAATTTAAATAAATTAAATTTTTCAATTGTTTTTTTCCATTTTGTTCTTTAATTCAAATAGAAAAAAAAAATATTTTTATTTATGCAAGCAAAAGAAAAGTTTAATTATAATAAAAGCCATTTCAATACATATAAAAATAATTTATTTTTATTTAAACCTTATGGTAAAGTTTCAATATTTTGAAATAGGTATAGTCATAACATACCAATGTTGTGCGGTGTTGAAAACATAGAATGTATTGTATTATGCAGGAATATTTACAAACGTAAAATTAGGCAGGTAAAAGATGTAACTGTTTGTTTAATCTACAATAAAATTTTGTATAATCATTTCATATTTCGGATATACTGATCGTTAAATTTGTTAGTCCTCGGTTTCAATGCAATCTTATACAAAGACGAAACTTGGTATATTCATTATAGCAAATTCATTTATATTAGTTTAATTAAATTCCTCTCGTGAAATGATCGACGATTAAATTTATTAATTTTTAAATAATTAATAAAAAAATTAATAATTCTATTCTATAAAAATAATGAACTTTATTATTGTTGCAAATTGCCTATATAGATTATTATCCAATATATTGTCTTTATAATTATTCAAAATGATAAATTTCCAGTTATCACAAGTTAATTTATTTAATTTAAAAAAAATATAAGGCAATATTTGCAACAATTTTAGAAAACAATTTTATGTGATTTATTTTTTATATTTTTATAAAAAAAATAATATACTGTAAAATAATTTCTTTCTTCATTTTTCCAATTTTCATACAGAAAAGAAATTTTAATTTTAAGTTATAAAGAATTTTGAAAAGAAAAAATTTACTATTTCTCTCAGTAGGAGATCTCAGGATATGACTTCGTTTTCGAACAGACATTAGTCCTTTTAATAGAATTCAATACTAAGGCTTTTTCAAAAAAAAAAAAAAAAAGAGATAGAACATAATAGCTAGAGAAGCATTAAGACGTAATTATTTTTCAATTTATCTTGCGGCGAGACCACCGGCCAAGTTTTGCCAACAGACTTTCGAGATTTGCTTATTTCCGGTCCTCATGCATGCCTTTCCCGCAGGAACTTTTTCTTTCCACGGGAATTTTCTTATTTCATTCGTTATATCGCGATGACACGCCTTTGGACAGATTTTTCGAAAAAGAATTTTATTCCTTGAATAGTTTTTTTTTCTAAGATGGTTTTAAGTGAATACTTTACGGTATAAACATCTTACCGATACGTCTTATTTGCGACAAATAATTGCAGGGATTTGAGGAAATTTCTAGAAAAGTAACTTGTTAACGAAAGAAAACTTTTGGGGAAAACTTTTCGTGAGAATAAATAGGTAATAAAAGATAAGTAGGTAATAAAAGGTTTAGGTAATAAAAGATATTGGAAATAATAAATAATTTCTAATTTGAATTAAAATAGATTTTTGAAATGTTATCCAAATTGCGCTATTTTTTTTATTTAATATAAATAATGATAAAGTAATAAACTTTATTATTAAAAGTAAAGAATAAAAATTAAGAAATATATTTATATAACATATATAGAAACATAATTATCTTTGTAGTAATAATCGTGGTCTTTGAGTGTCAAGTAACTGATGAGGTTATAATACTAATGGTCCTACCATTAATAAGCATAAAATATTGACTAATAATTGTTCTAACTGGTTGCTTGTTTGTGGTAAGGAAAATATATAACCCAAACTTACCAGTTACCATATTTTTTTATCTTTATTCAACAATATAGTTTTAAATACCTGCTGTATAATAAAGAAGTACAGTATTTTAAATACCTTAATTTTGAAAATATTATTTAATGTTTTATTTTAAAGTTAGTTTTATTGATGTATTATAATAAATATGTTATTTATAGTAAGTGCATATACCTAAATATGTATTACTAGAAATTCTTATACCGAATTTTCAATAAAATATTCTTTGGGCTACCAATGGATTTAAAACAGTATTTAAAACACAAACTGTATTTAAACCGGTACCGGTATTCTATTGTATTATTAACTATTTTATTCTACTTGATGACGCGTAATATGAAGACAAATTTTGCATTAATACTAACGATGTGAACTATATTTATTTATCGAAAATTTTAATTTACATTTTGGAAAAATACTAATAAATATCCAAAGCTAAAATTTCAGATTTAAAGTCTAATCCCTCTCTTCTAATTCCTTTCAAATTTTACATCAATTTTACTTTTCGAAAGTACGATTAAAATAAGAAATTTATAAATTCTTTCAATTTCTTCTATTTTTGATTGTAATAATTTTCTGATAGAGTTTTAAAATAAAAAAAATATATAAAATAGTGAAATAAGGATTGGAAAAATCTAACTTAGAGAATTAAGAAACTATTAATTTTATATATATATATTATTATTAGAATATATACAAAAATCTAAATATTCATCGATCATAAGATTTTTCCAAAGCACTGAAGCCATGTGAAAATTGAAAATAAACGAACCATGATGGCAAAAGGACAAAAATTTTTGAGAACAGATTGTTTGGTGTCCGATTACTAAGCCCTACGGTAAAGAGTTGAAAATTTCATTCTCAAAGAAAG